TAAATGGCCAGGATAGGAAACAACCTGAGAACTTTGCGTCAGAAATCGTTCAAGGAAGAAGGGCATGGGAGAAAATATATTAAATATATAACTCCTTTGGCCTGTGCCTACGTTCGACCTGTTGCTCTGTTGATTTATCGATTCTGCTTTCTTTGGTCTACAAGCGCTAAAACTTAGGTTGATGTGCCCACTAGGGGTGGGTTCTAATTTTTTTACTACCGGTTCTGTGGGCGTGGCTTATTTTGTGGGCGTGGTTTGATGGTCATGTGACAAACAATTCTTTAGGATTTAGCAGAGGTACTGGTCTATCAGACTTTTAATTGCTTGCAGAGCTGTACCGGTCTACCCATTTGTTTTTGGAGCGCACTGGTCTACCACCACACTGCCTTTTACCGCTGATCAGCTGTAGGGCGGCCCTTTGAAGCGCCAAGGCAAGAGTTGAAAAAGTTTTTTGCCGCTCTGCCACCACCAAGAGCATCGGAAACTGCTTTCAGGCAGCTTGGCCTCAGTTGCCAATCTACCACCACCGAGCAGTTTACAAGGAGCGGATCGGTTCTAGCCGATCAGTTGGGAGGCTTCTTGGCTTCTCAATTTAAAGCCACGGTGTCTTTTTTTTTTTTTTAATTTGATTTATATGCCGCCCTTCTCCGGAGACTCAGGGCGGCTTACAATGCCCTAAGCAATAGCCTTCATCCTTTTGTATATTTATACAAAGTCAGCTTATTGCCCCCACAAACTGGGTCCTCAATTTACCCACCTTAGAAAGGATGGAAGGCTGAGTCAACCTTGAGCCTGGCGAGATTCGAACCTGCAGTAATTGCAGGCAGCTGGTCTTAATAACAGGGTGCTTTAGACCACTGTACTACCAAGGCTTGTTTCCCCCCCCCACCTTCTTTGTCAAGTGAGCCCTGATTTTTTCCTTCTAGCCGATCAGCTGGGAGTCCGGAGGCAGCAAATAGATTGAGGGCGGGGCCAGGCAGAGGTGGTATTTCCCGGTTCTCCGAACTACTCAAAATTTCCACTACCGGTTCGCGAGAACTGTGTCCTCAGGGTCACCTGAGTAGTGCAAATGGGTGTGGAGCAGTGGTGAAATCCAATTTTTTTTTACTACCGGTTCTGTGGGCGTGCCTTGGTGGGCGTGGCTTGATGGGCATGGCAGGGGAAGGATACTGCAAAATCTCCATTCCTACCCCATTCTGGGGCCAGCCAGAGGTGGTATTTGCCGGTTCTCTGAACTACTCAAAATTTCTGCTACCGGTTCTCCAGAACCTGTCAGAACCTGCTGGATTTCACCCCTGGTGTGGAGCCTTCTTGGAACTGCCGCAGATAAGCCTCCAAGCGGCCTCAACGACTCTCTAAAAAGGATGCAAATGACCAGCTCTGTTTGCAAGGAGTATAATCCTTCCGTTCTCCACCATCCAGTTAGAGCTGAAAAAGCTTCTTGGGTGAGAAGCGAAACGTCTTCAAAAGAAGAAGAAAAAAACCCAGAAAGTCCAACTGCTTCTTGCAAAAAAGTGCCTTTGGGATAGTTGTATCTTTTAGGAACTTTTAGGAACTGGTGAATGCACGGCAGAGGTTAGAGTCTAATTGTGGATTCTGTGATTGATCGTTCAGGCTGTTGGCCCCTCTGCAGGTGCAGCGTGCAGCGTCCTTCACACTTGCTTGGTTCACAATGTTGAGAAAAGAAACACTTGAGCGCTCCGGACTGTACAAGCTGCTCACTTCTGAACGCACGATGTCTTTCCTGAAAAACACGGGGAGACAGAACGTCTCTCCGGAGCAGTCTGCTCACACGCATGACTCACTCGTAGATCAATGGCAAGTCCTCCACCGGGAAAACATATAGTTCACACACACACACACTCACACACACACAGACACTTTAGAAGCAACCGCAGCCCCGATAGACACTAGTGAAGAGAAAAGCAAGACCTCTCTTGCAGCTTCACAGCTAAATTTCCAAGTCAAGTTCAGCATGAGTTCCTAAGCAGCAACACAAATCGTTTTGTTGTTGTTATCGTTTTGGCAACCCACCACACAACCGGACTAGGATAAACCCCCAAGATTCCATAGCAGCTTTTGCAAAAAGACGAGAATCTCACCTGCTTAAAATGATCTCAAATACAGGTAGACCTCCACTTGCGACGGCAACTGAGCCCGACATTTCGATTGTCAAGGAAGACGTTTGTTAAGTGAGCTTTGCCCCGTTTTATGACCTTCCCTGCCCCTGTTGTTAAGTGAATCACGGCTGTTGATAAGTTAGTAACCCGGTTGTTAAGTGAATCTGGATTCCCCGTTGCCTTTGCTTGTCAGAAGGTCAGAAAAGGGGATCACAGGACCCCGGGACACTGCAACCGTCGTAAGTACATGCCAGTTGCCAGGTGTCTGAAATTTGATCAGGATGCTACAAAAGTCGCAAGTGTGAAAAACGGTCATACATTACATTTTTCAGTGCCGTTATAGCTTTGAAGGGTCACTAAACAAGCTGTTGTAAATCGAGGACTACCTGTATGATGAGGTAATCGCTTGGCTGCCCTTTAAAATCTTCCAGCATGTGGGTAAAACAGTCCCCTGGCTGAATTCAGATTAAGAGAGTTGGAAGGGACCTTGTAGGTCATCTAGTCCAACCCCATAACCCGAGCAGGAGACACGTTACACCAAGCCAGGGTTTGTGTAACTGTAATTTATTTATTTATTTAATCATGCCTGGCTGGTTGCAGAACAGATCACAGATAGATAGCCTAAATGCATCATAGTTTGTTGCATCTACGTAGCTCAATTTACAGCTGAACCAACGTACATCAACCGAGGTAACAGCAGTGGTGAAATCCAATTGTTTTTACTACCGATTCTGTGGGCGTGGCTTGGTGGGCGTGGCAGGGGAAGGATACTGTAAAATCTCCATTCCCTCCCCACTCCTGGGGGAAGGATACTGCAAAATCCCCATTTCCTCCCCACTCCTGGGGAAAGGATACTGCAAAATCCCCATTCCCTCTCCACTCCAGGGAAAGGATATTGCAAAATCTCCATTCCCTCCCCACTCCTGAGGGAAGGATACTGCAAAATCCCCATTCCCACCCCACTCCTGGGGAAAGATACTGCAAAATCTCCATTCCCACCCCACTCCTGGAGAAAGGATACTGCAAAATCCCTATTCCCTCTCCACTCCAGGGAAAGGATACTGCAAAATCTCCATTCCCATCCCACTCCTGGGGAAAGGATACTGCAAAATCCCCATTCCCTCTCCACTCCAGGGGAAGGATACTGCAAAATCTCCATTCTCTCTCCACTCCAGAGGAAGGATACTGCAAAATCTCCATTCCCACCCCACTCCTGGGGGAAGGATTCTGCAAAATCCCCACTCCCTCTCCACTCCAGGGGAAGGATACTGCAAAATCTCCATTCCCATCCCACTCTGGGGCCAGCCAGAGATGGTATTTGCCGGTTCTCCGAACTGCTCAAAATTTCCGCTACCGATTCTCCAGAACCTGTCAGGACCTGCTGGATTTCACCCTTGTCTTACGGTATATCACGCGAGAGATAAAGGAGTTGTGAGAACTCGGCCACCGAATTCAGGGATTTGGGGATTGCCACGAAGAAGGTTTTGCTGTCTGCAGCCTGACAAACAGGCTCCAGCAGCCGAGAGTTTCCGCTGCCACCATCATAAAACCTGTTTGCATTTCAGGTGGTTTCTGAGAAAAGCTAACACAAGGAGGCCTCTGGAATTTGTTCTTGATTGTCTCAACCCGGTTTGCAAACGTCAGAAACGGCATTCCTTTTTTTTTTTTTTCCTGCAAGATTTCTGGTTCATAGGCCAGTTAAAGGTAATCCTTGCAAGCCGGAAAGCTCTTTGAACCATCTCTGCCCACGATGCCTTTTTGCACACCATTGCTGGTTTGGCTTGGGTCTGGCTTGCCTCTCTGCCTTCAGGGGTAAGAAAACACAAGAGAGAAAAAAAAAACATCATTTTAGAGAAATAAAAAACATATACCAATCTCTCTCTGGACACATTGTATTCGGTTGTTTCAAGGGCTGGAGCATTTCCAGGTGGTTTGATAAATAAATAAATATATTCTGAGCATAAATAAACTGAAAAGACTGGAGGGAGAGGGAGGCTTCCAAAGTGCAGCCAATCCAATAGTTAATGCAATTAAATAATGCAATTTTAAAAAAAAAACCCAAATTGCAAACGAGGGAAGGTCCCAAAAAGACACCCCAAAAAGGGTTGTCTTTATTTTTTTTTATTTATTTTTTTTTTATTTTGATTTATATGCCGCCCTTCTCCGGAGACTCAGGGCGGCTTACAATGCGTTAAGCAATATTCATAAAGCTGAAGAGGGGGGGAGGGCTTTTTAACCCTTTTCCCCGGGCACTGCCCAAAATGTACCCCCCCTCTCTCTCACACACACACACACACACCTTTTCACAAGTTGTATTGTGCACACACACACAAAAACACCCATTCCCTATCTATCCAAACCGGTTGCCTTCCTAAGGTATCTTAGCATTTTAAAAACTCCACTAGAGGGCAGCACCTCTCCTGAAAGTGCGGTCCCTTCTGGAAAAGATGCCTTTTGCAACCAAAGACGGGCATCTCCTGGTGGCCTCCTTTCCGCCTGTCTCAATAATACACCCTTTGCCCGGCTTAGTCCACCAGCTTGGGCTCCTGTCTTCGCCCAAGAAGAGGAAAAAGAAGAAGAAGAGGAGAGGGGGGGGGGAAAAGGGGGGGGGAAGGGAGGGGGGGGAAAAAAAGGAGGAGAAAAAAAAAAGTGACGGAATCCACATTTCTCCTCAGGGAGGCCCGGCGGCCGGGCTCTTCCCTCTGAGGGGACGCCCCTCCCTCCGCGAGAGAAAGAGAGAAAAGCCTCGCCCGGCTCCGCCCACCCCGCCTCGCCTCGCCTCACCTCAGGGGTGGGCGGGGCCCGCGCGCGCCGAGGGAACCGCCCGCCCCCCGGCCTCCCCTCCCTCCGCTGAGGTGGCCGGTTCCGCAAGTTTGACAGTTGGCGCGGAGGGCGCCGCTGAGGAAGGAGGGTCTTTGCGTCGCTCCGCGATTCAAGTTCCCCCCCCTCCCCAAAAAAACCCGCCGGAGTAGCGGAGCAGCCTCTTCACACGTCCCGAGGGGATCCCAGCCACCCGTCTGTCCGCCCGGAGCCACCTAGCCCGCCGCTTTCGCCTCCCTTTGGCCGCCGCCGTCATGTCTCGGGGTCCCGAAGAAGTCAATAAGCTGACCGAAAGCACTTATAAGGTGAGTTGGGGGGGGGGGAGAGGGGAGGGAGGGGGGGACTCCAGCCCTCCCACCCCCCAAAAGGTGGGCTTCTTCCCCCTCGAGGGGAAAAAGGGACAACCTCCCTCCCCAATGCAACCAGGCGAGGATTTTCCTCTCCCTCTCCCCACCCAATGCCTGACTCAATGCAAACTTAATTATTATTATTATTATTTTTGCTCTTTTATGGGCTGGGAAGATTGCAAAGCAAAACTTCTGTTTTGGGCTGCTTTCGTGGGAGTTTCGACTTTTTTTTTTCTTTCTTTTTTTTTTTTTTTTTTAAAAAAGTCATTTCTTGCATTGCTCCTTTAAAGAGAAAAGTCTGTCCTTGGCTGCTTTCGTGGGATTTTTTTTTTTTTAAAAAAAAACAAAACCGATCTCTTCTTGGATTTGCTCCTTTTTTAAAAAATTATATATATGATGTGTGTATATATATATGTATAACATATATATATATATATACATATACACACATACATATATATATATATATATATACATATATATATATACACACACACACACACACACACACACACACACACAGATATATATATATATACATATACATATATAGAAAGACTTCTTTAAAAAAAATGACAGGAGGGAGGAATCCACAGACAGAAATACATATATATATATTAGATTATATAATATAGATTATATATAGTCTATATTAGATTATATCTATATCTATATCTATATCTATATCTATATCTATCTATATCTATATCTATATATATATATATATATATATATATATATATAAAGTTAAAATCTTGGATGTTTTCCCGCGTCATTAAAAGTCTGTTAGTTGAAATGCTTAAAATCCTGGCTAAAATCCCAGTTTAAGATCCTCCAAGATCCCAACAAAACACTTTGTAAGATCTTTTGAAACTCTGGCTAAAATCCTAAACAACACTTTAAAAGTTTTCTTTTTGGCAATGTTTAGACAAGCTCTCTAATTTGTCATCATCGGGCCCCTACTTTCAGTTTAGAAGTATATATATTTTGTGTGTTTGTGTGTGTGTAGTGTATGTATATGTATATATGTATATTATATATATACATATATATATTAGATTATATATATTTATAGATTATATATATTTCTATCCATGGATTCCTCCTTCCTGTCTTTTTTTAAAAAAAAACAAAAAGTCTTTTCTTGCAATGCTACTTTTTTTACAACAAAAGTTCTGTCTGTAACTGCTTTCATGTGATTTTTTTTCTTTATATATATATTTATATATGTGTGTTGAATTGCTACTTTAAAATAAACATTTCCCAGGCTGTCTTCCTGTGATTCCCACTCCCCTCCCCTCTCTTTTGTGTCATTTTATTTTTTTCAAAGTCCTTTCTTGCTTTGCTCCTTTTTAAAGGAGTGATAGACATTTTTTTTTTTAAAAAAGGGAGCAGTTCCAGAAATGATTTTAAATAGAGAGAAAAGTCACAGGAAAGCATATTTTTAATGTGTCTTTAAAAAAAAAAAGTCAGTGGCTATTTGTTTACAGTTATTGCTGTATTGCTTTTTGTTGGCTACTTGGTGGGGGGGGTCAGGGTATACTTTTCATTGTTTAATATTGGGGGTTATGCAATATTTTTTATTATTTCCTGCTCTCATTTTGGATTTGCTGATCTTGTTTCTTATGGATTGCTTATTGGTTTTGTAAGGATGGCTATTTACTTTTATAGCTAGTTCGAGATTGTGCTGATGAAAATAGATGTGCTTTTTAGGGTGTGTCTGTGTGTTGTTTCTTTTGTGAGTCCTTTTTCCCTTTCTCACAACGTTCAGAAAGTGAGTCGAAGGCTAGACAACTTCCTCAATTAGATGCAGATTGGACTACAGTTCCCCCGTTGGCTTTTAGCTGGAGGAGATGGGAGTTGTAGCTGACTGAGGATGATGGGAATTTGGGAGTTGTAGTCTGACACGCCTGAGCTGTGCTGATTTACAGTTGAAATGATTTATAAGCAAGCAAGTCAGGAAAATCACCAACTGGGAGGGAGGGGAAAAAATCCAGATTTATTCAGTGAACTAAACGAGCCGAAGTTCTGCACATGTTCAGAAGCCCATGTTCTTTTTTTAAAAAAAAAGAATTGCTCCTGATGGAGGAAAAACAAAATCAAGATATATTCAGGATGCTCCATCGCTGGAAGTTTTCAAGAAAACAGAGCAGAGAGGTCTTCAAACTTGGCAGCTTTAAGACTTGCGGACTTCAACTCCCAGAATTCTCCAGGCTGGAGAATTCTGGGAGTTGAAGTCCGCAAGTCTTAAAGCTGCCAAGTTTGAGGACCCCTGACCTAGAATCAATGCTGGCTGGGGAATTCTGGGAGTTGAAGTCCACACATCTTAAAGTCACCAAGGTTGAAAAACATCGCCTTAGCCTTGTGTTTAAGCCAAGCCATTGTACCAAGCTACCTTCCCTTGTTTTTATCAGAGTTCTTTTGGCTTTACCTAGAAGCAAGGCAAGCCCTCAATGACCCTACAAAGGTTAAATTCTGAGGAAAAAAAAAACAAGAGGAGCATTTTATCCTGACAGGTCCCAAGGTCAGAAGAAGGAACTTGGATTAAAACCAAGTAAACAGGCCTGCCTTATTATTTATGAACAGAATTACCACAGAAGTCTTGCCACCATTTTGCAACTGGCAAAAATCCTGCTGTTTCGCTATCCGTTCTCGGTAGCTGTCAAGGACACTTATATATTTATTTATTTATTGGTTCGATTTATATTCTGCCCTTTCTCCAGAGACTCAGGGCGGTTAACAATGCTTTAAGCAATAGCCTTCATACTTTTGTATATACCTGCTTAGTAGGGCTTTCGGGCCCCCCTAAGCGGTGTTCTTTTTTATACAAAGTCAGCTTATTGCCCCCACAATCCGGGGCCTCATTTTACCTACCTCGGAAGGATGGAAGGCTGAGTCAACCTTGAGCCTGGTGAGATTTGAACTCGCAGTAATTGCAGGCAACTGGTGTTACTTAACAGCACTTTAGTCCACTGCGCCACCAAGGGATAGCTACCAACAAGCAGACTTGGGGGACTCGACAAAAGATGCTTTCACCGTCTTTGCAGATTCCAGGTGGGGAAAAGGTTGGCCTAAATGGCATGATGGCGAACGCACCCATGATGGTGGCACACAGAGCCCTCTCAGTGGGCACGCGTGCCGTCGCCAGCTGTGTTTCTGGTTTCCAGCACACACATGCATGCCCGCCAGCTGGTCTTCGCATACCCCAGAGTGCCAGAAATCTGAAAATCGGCTGGCCGGCGTGCATGCACGTGCCGGCCACGCTCTGGAAACCCGAAGACCACCTAGTCTTTAGGTGTCCGGCGCTCTGGAGCGCGTTTCAGTTTGGCCACTCGGTGCCGAAAAGGTTGGCCATCACCGGCCTAGATGATCTTTGAAGTCGTTTCCATTACTCGGTGGCAGAGTGTTCTCTTCACATCCGACTTAGGTGCAAATGCACATGTGAACATAAACAGACTCTGGGCCTAAATTAAAGTCAGTGACAGTAACAGTAACAGAGTTGGATGGGGACCTTGGAGGTCATCTAGTCCAACCCCCTGCTCACGCAGGAGACCTGTACTAGGGATTCGAACTGCCAAACTGCCAACCTTTCTGATCGACAAGCTCAGTGCCTTAGCCACTGAGCCACCTAATCAAGTCCTGTCACCTTGGCTGGTAGTGGATGAAAAGCCATTTTTGAGTATTGTATAGGTAGTTCTCAACTTACAACCACTGTTTTTTTTTTTTTTTTAATTTGATTTATATGCCGCCCTTCTCCGGAGACTCAGGGCGGCTTACAATGCGCTAAGCAATAGCCTTCATTCTTTTGTATATTTATACAAAGTCAGCTTATTGCCCCCACAAACTGGGTCCTCATTTCACCTACCTTTGAAAGGATGGAAGGCTGAGTCAACCTTGAGCCTGGTAAGATTCGAACCTGCAGTAATTGCAGGCAGCTGTTCTTAATAACAGGGTGCTTTAGACCACTGTACTACCAAGGCTCTTGGTTTGAAGTTATGACGGCCCTGGAAAAAAAAGAAGATGACTTATACCGGTCCTTGCCCCACTGCAGCATCCCCATGGTTACACGATCACAATTTATGACTTTCCCACCCAGCGTCCTACAAGCAAAGTACAATGGGGGAGAGCCAGATTCCCTTACTAACCATGTAATTTACTAAACAACTGTAGTGATTTGCTTAAACAGCGCGGCAAAAAGTCATAAAATCAGGTATGGCTCACTTAACAACCCTCTTGCTTAGCAGTGAAAATTCTGGGCCTCCCCCGATTGTTGTGTACTGCCTGCATTGCTTGTGATGCTCGTTTTTAACTGGTGCTTAGAACTAAGACTACTCTCTACACAAACCATCCATGTCTGAAAACATGGCAAACAAACCGGGATTTGGCCTTTGACTCCAGCCAGAAGTTTCTTATCCCAAAACCACACTTTTGGCTGTCTCACCTCAACGCCTTCGGCAGCCCAGCCCTTTCCGTCCAGCTTGCCTGATCTCAACTCTTTTCACTTTGGTTTCAAATTCTCCTCCATCTCTGGGACCTGCCCCTTTTCTTGCAGATTTTTTTTTAAAAAAAACCTTAAGCTTTATCCGCCTGAAAAACCAGCAACGGGATCTGGGCCCCGTCCTGTGACTTGTGAGTCAGCCCCCTTTTCCCATGCCTTGTTGGCTTCCTTGGCCCCAAAAAAAAGAAAGAAAAGAAAGTCTGATTCACTCACACCGCCGGGTGTGTTTATTTGGCAGAAGAGAGGCATGAGGTTTCCACTTTGGGTGGGGTTAGGGAAAGTCACCTGCGTATTCCGATCGCAAAACCCCACCATCCATCTGGGGGTGGGGATGGGAGACGGCTTCGACCTAACCTTGGTGGGGTTCAAACAGGAAATTCTAATTTACGGAAAGGGACTATATGGGGAATGGAACATAGAAATTATTCCAGATAAAGACGGGTGGGTCGGCCCGATAAAA